TTTGATTTGGTTTGTTCCCACTGTCCCTTTCTAAATATTTGTGCACTCTTGTTTATAAAGAAAAGCCATATACTCCTGTGGTTGGACTATGCTCATCGCCCTCCCCCGTTGCCCAGTCACAGCCATGCACTGCGGCCTGGCCAGTCGTGGCCCTGCCAGTCAGCCTTCCCTCGGGGACCCGAGGGGTCCCAGGCTGCCACTGGGGAGAATGCACAGTGACCCTGATGCTTTTGCGGTACAGACACTTCCCGTGCGGTGCTAACGGTCCCCTGTGTAATAGTTTATGTTCTAGGATGACCAAGTAGAAGAATACTTTGAAAAAATTGATAAAGCCTTCTGGCTATACAGTGAGTCTTTGTTTTTGTTTTTGTTTTTGTTTTGTTTTCCCTTTGCCATATCGGAGCGTTCATTTGCCTGAGAGAGTGCCGTGACGACAAGTAACGGGCCCCTGCTACACCCTTAGCACGTCCCCTGAGCAGCGCAAGAAAGATTGAGCTGTGGGTCACAGAAATGTCCTTAAAGTGAAACAGACTGCTGATGTCTCAATTGCTTTTCTGTGATGGAACTGCTTGTACTCTATATCCTGTTCATAATGCAGATCGAATAAGATTATACTATTATTTTTCTTTTGCCGTAGCTCAGGACAGTGGTGAGTTTCAGACTCCTCTAGGTAAGGCCCAGCTTGGCGTAGGGGTTGTGTGTGCACCTGACCTGGGAATGGGCTTTTATTTCTCTCGTGTGCACTCTTCTGTGAGCTGAGGGTCCAAGGCTAACGGCGAGCTTGGCGCTGAGGAGCAGTGCACGGTGCACCCGGTTGTGTTGGGCTCTGCTGAACACTTCTCCAAACCCTCAGAGCACACCTCGCTCCTGGGCCTGCCCTGCGGCTGCCCAGCCAGAGCTGAGGCAGCCACTTTTGCATTTGCATTCTGTTTGTCAAGAGAGCAAACACGCTACCGCTATCATATCAGCCACTGACTCGAGCCCGGCAGCTTCTCAAAGAGCAGAATTTGTAAACATGCCTTCATGGCTCCTCCTGGCCCCTCTGGAAGCCAGGAGGCTTGGGGGGAGCATAGCCTCATTGCGGAGGGTGGAGAAACCGAGCCATCGAGAGGCCCAGGCTTGGCCCAGGGCGATCCAGCTAGAGCCCAGTTAGGTGGCGGAGCTGGGGCCAGAATCTGCCTAACTTACGTGTAGAGACCAGTCCAATAATAACGCAGTGCCTCCCATGGGCTGAGCACTTACCAAGCACTGGACAGAATGCAGAAGAAATGTTAGCTGTGGTCCTGCCCCCTGAGCATTATGATGTCATAATGTACGAGTAATGTCTTCAAGCTCCCGAGGGCAGGCATCACCCTCCTCCTTATCCCTCACTAGTAGACAGCTGGGGGGTGGGCGTCCCTCTCCCAGGCCCCTATCCTGGTCCTCACCTTCCTTCCCTGGCGGGGAAACAGCTGTAGCAGACAGGTCCTAGAGTACAGACCTATGCACACACACACACTCACAGACACACACAGGCCTTCTCGTCCTAACCTTTCATAAGCACGATTCTGAGCCTACGACTTTCTGTTTGCTGGAGGTAGCTTTCCCCTGTAAGCTGTTCTTTAAACTCTTAGCCTTTCTGCGTGTGCTTGGTGTGGTGCATGAAACGTCGACTCTTTGTGTTGCTCCCATCTCGAGGGGAGGTCGTGAGGGTTAGACCTCTGCTGTGTCCGTGGGGGGTGGGGAGGGCTCCGAGGGGGCGGGAGGATGGAGGGGAGCCACAGCTACCGTAATTCTCCCCCTTTCTCTGCTCCCCTTCCTGAGGGTTGGTGTTCGCTGCTCCTGCCAGGAGACCCAGAGTAGGCTGAGCGCACCTCCTCAGAGCTAGCTCCTCCTCCGGGGGGGGACGGCTCTGTCGGCACGGAGAGCCCAAGAGGGTCCTCTTCACCTCTGAGAGGCAGCAGGGCTGGGCTGGGCAGGGGCAGCCAGGCCTCAGGGTTTGCAGGGTGGCCCGTGAGGAGGGGAGAAGCAGGGCCGCGGCGGGACCTGTCTGGCTGACCCTCCCTTCCCTTGCTTCCCCCGGCAGGTGCCCATTCTGCATTTATTCCACCAACCGCCCCGCCGCCATGGAGTGCCACCTCAAGACCCACTACAAGATGGAGTACAAGTGCCGGATCTGCCAGACGGTGAAGGCCAACCAGCTGGAGCTGGAGACGCACACCCGGGAGCATCGCCTCGGCAACCACTACAAGTGCGACCAGTGCGGCTACCTGTCCAAGACCGCCAACAAGCTCATCGAGCACGTGCGCGTGCACACCGGGGAGCGGCCCTTCCACTGTGACCAGTGCAGCTACAGCTGCAAACGCAAGGACAATCTCAACCTGCACAAGAAGCTGAAGCACGCCCCTCGCCAGACCTTCAGCTGCGAAGAGTGCCTGTTCAAGACCACACACCCTTTCGTCTTCAGCCGCCACGTCAAGAAGCACCAGAGTGGGGACTGTCCCGAGGAGGACAAGAAGGGCCTGTGTCCGGCCCCCAAGAAACCAGCTGGCCCCGGGGCCCCGCTCCTCATCGTCGGGAGCTCTCGGAATCTCTTGTCTCCCCTGTCGGTCATGTCCGCCTCCCAGGCTCTGCAGACCGTGGCCTTGTCCGCTGTCCACGGCAGCAGCTCAGAGCCCAACCTGGCACTCAAGGCTCTGGCCTTCAACGGCTCCCCTTTGCGCTTTGACAAGTACCGGAACTCGGATTTTGCCCATCTCATTCCCTTGACAATGTTATACCCCAAGAACCACTTGGATCTCACATTCCACCCGCCCCGACCTCAGACTGCGCCTCCCAGCATCCCGTCCCCCAAACACTCCTTCCTCGCCTATCTCGGACTGAGAGAAAGAGCAGAGACTGTCTGAGGGCAGCATGTTCCGTACCAAAAACCAAGTGACAGAGACAAAAACAAAAATAAACCCACGAAACTTACACACAACCCCAGCAGGTGTATGTTGCTGCAAAACCGACAGACCCTCGTGGGTCTGAACCACGTGTACTGTATCTCTTTAGTAAGGACTAGAGAATTGGCTCTGTGTGTATACCTATTGCATTGACCTGAAAGCTGCTTTATCCGATCTTCAGAGAGGTGACCTACTGCGTACATCTACCTTCAGAGGCATGCCTCCCCGGCCCCCCGCGCCCACTCTCAGCCCTGCTCCCCACCTTTCCCGGAAAGGAATTTTGTCTTGCTCAACCCTAAAGAGAGTGTCCTTAATAGCAATCCGCACTTGTCAGCTTCTCTACTGGTGCATTTTTGTTTTCTGTTGGGTGAATGGGGTGTGTGGGCGTCTGTGGATTCTGAGAGAGAGAGCCGTGTGTCGTGTGCCATGAGATTTCTATCGCACATTCTCTGTGCTGGCTGCTTTCACCGCGATGAACATGATTTTCCCTCCTGGGTGGTTCATCCACTGCAGTCCCTCCCCGAGCCCCTTCTTCACCACCCGTTTCACGGCTGCAGAGTGGTGGGGCCTGGTGCGCGGTCGATGAAGGCATGGTAGACACCCACGGTGCTGCTGGAGATTTCCCACAGAGCTGGAGACCTTGTGCAGAGTCTCCTCTGGTTATGAAGACGCGAGGCAGCAAGAGTCCCGTCTGGAAGAAATGTCCTGCAGCACCGAGGCCAACATCACAAAACTTAAGTGTGTTGTGTGTGTGTGTCCATACGTACACAACGCGTGTGGGACACACGCAGTGCATCATTTTTTAAGGGCAGATTATATATATATATATATGATGTATTAATTCAGTGGTTACCATTTGTTTGCAGGAAAAAAAAATAGTATGAGTGAAAAATTTTATGGTCGATAAATCCAGCCAAGGAGATTAAAAGGGGTTTGGATCAATTCTGGGTATAAATGCTCAGACTAAAAAAAAAAAAAAGAAAAGAAAAGAAATGGCAGTTTTGCACAGTGCTTTGGTCTTGCACTAGTTTTTGTTTCTCATCTGCAAAAAAAAAAAAAGAAAGAAAAATAAAAGTGAAAGAAAATGTCCCTTTTATATGGAACGAGTAGACTGTATATTTGAAAATTTTGTCACAGGCTCGTTGACATATAACCACCCAAAAACAAGGTGCTGTTTAGTCCTGCAATTCCGTTGATGCCCCTGAGACGTGTCCATTGTGTTTGCAGGTCATCTGGCTCTAGTGGTATTCTCCATGTTGGTAATAATTCTGTATTCCATTTTGTTAACGCCTGGTAGATGTAATCTGCTAGGAGGCTAACTTTATACTTATTTAAAGCTCTTATTTCGTGGTCATTAAAATGGCAACTTATGTGCAGCACTTTATTGCAGCAAGAAGCAGATGTGATTGGTAGCATAGCCCTTTGCTAGTCTTTCAAAGTAATGGGTGATTTAGAAAGGAGAAGAGGGAAAGAATCTTTGGCTGAATACGTTAAGTGCTTGTATTTTTAAGACAACAGCATTTCCTGTATGAAACAGGCTAAAGGAGCAGGAAGAAATGTGCTTTGTATGATGATGGGAAGCTTGGGATATAAAAGTTTATATATTATTTATCTATTGAAGAACTGTGTACAGGAGGAATGCTTCTTACTGCATTGCTGTTTTCCATCAGGTGTTATCCTAGAGTTGGGAATTTTTCTTTTTTTCATCCGTTTCACCAGGGGAAAATAAAAGCATCCCTGATTTTCTTCCTCTAGTCAGCTTGCTTCACTGAGCCCCCTTGAAATTGATACAGTTGTGCGGGAAGCCAGAAGACTATACCATCTGTCCACACCATGGTTCCCCCCACCACACACACACACACACACACACACACACACACACACCCTTCTTCCCCCAGACTAGCAGGTCTACTATACTTCCCTTTGCCAGTCACGGGCCCTGGCAAGCCTGTTTACACTACAGAGATGCCCGGGGACAGGGAGGCTGAGCCGGCTAGGGCGGGAAGCTCTGCACCTTCTATCCTCCTCCCGCAGACATCTGTTCTTGGCCATGTGTGAACCCCCCATCAACCTCGCCACCTCACTGTCTCAGCTAAAGACACTATAGACAAGTATAATACACTCCAAGAATACCGGGCTAATGGGTGGGCTGGTTTTCGGTGGTTTTTGTTGTTTTTTTTTTAAGTTATGTCTTTATCCCCATATAATGGAGAATGTGCCACTTGGCTAATAATGTGCTTTCAAAATTACAAGTTCAGTGATGACAGGAAAGAGGGCCACGGGCATCCCACAGAGGCTGGCAGGAAAGGTGACTCACATAATGCACCAGCAGGTAAAAACCTGACAGGGTGGCCCTGACTATCAGGACGACAGCTTTCACAGCATGCCACTTGTGCAATAGGAGGCCCTGGGCTGAAACCTGCGAGACCGAGAGGGGCGTTGGAAGGAAGGAGACGTTTACCGTTCGAATGCCATGTGTTTCCCTGCTTGCCACTGAACTTGTATTTGAATTACTTCGTTATGCTTAATGTAATTGGGCAACTTTTTTAGCACTTTGGAAAGAGTCATCCATCTTTCTGGTAAATTATAAAAAGTTTTCTGAGTGAGAAAAGGTGTGTTTGGAGTTTGTTTGACTTTTTATATTATTATTATTATTAATAAAGAAAAAAATTTACAGCATTTTTCAGACTCCACTGAGGTAATATGTACCCCTGAATTTGGTTTGCAGTTTGATACTCAGGGAAGGATGTATTCCATAGATATCCTTTCCGTGTAAAACACTAACGTCTTTGAGAAATTCACCTGCCAACTAACTTCAGTTGTTTTTCACTATGCATCCTTCGATGAAAGCTAGCTTATTTTCCCATAGAGCAATGCAGTTAGTGTTCCCAGCACTTTCCTTCTCCTGTCCTTTTTTTAACCCCTCATATTATGTTCAGATGATCATACTATCAAGGTTTGTGTACATTACTGAAAATTTGTATTGTATAAAGCTTTTTGCATTACAAGGCTGTACAGGGTCATTTTGACAGTAACTGGTATATTCCTTTGCATCTTATGTTGCATTGCCAATTTCTAGTGTATCCAGTTTGGAAGTATAATATACTCTAATTAAAAAAAAAAGGTTGGCTATACTCTTGTTTCTTTTTCTTTCTTGGTTGCCATCCTTGACTACGTGTTAGTCTCAGGGTTCGGTTTGTCTTGCGTTGTTCTGATTTTTACTTTTTAGTGTATTTTAAATGAGTTTAGGGAATGCCCACTACTAGTTATAACAACAACAAAATGCAAGTTTTGAACAGCCATGCTAATAATGCACACTTACGATGTTAAGTCATTAGCAGCCATGAGGTTGAGAGTATAACCATCATTCAGTACAATTGCAGGCCAGCTCTTTCCTGAAATTACTTTGTGACATTTAAAAGTGTTCACCAGCCTTACCCTCTTCTGCTTAACATCATTTTATTGACCCCATAGCCCAAGGGGTGGGGTTGGGAGGGCAGGGCGACAGATGAATAATTCCATTTATCTTAATGAACTTTGACAACTATGAGATTTTAATGAGGGGAGGTGGGAATGGTATATTGGAAAGCTAAATAATAATCTATTCAAATGCAAGTACTAGTTCATTCAAAGAGAGGTACCAGAGAAAGAAAAGATAAAAAGCACACTGTTAAAACAATAATTTTTTAAAACCCATTTTAAAGCGCTATCGTTAGCCACCTCCCTCCATGAACCTGTGATGGTTGATAAAAAAGGTAAAGCAGCAAGAGAGAATGTTTTGCCTGGTTCACAACTGGCACTTTTATAAATGTAACATCCTTGGCTCAACACAAGAAGTTACGAACTGCTTCACCTAACATTCAGAAAGATCAAATTTACTTTCTGTAAAATGAGGTCATGTAGGAGAAGCCACTTTGAAAGTGACTAGTCACTCATCAGACACTGTTTTCCCCTCCATTTTTTCATCCAATAGCTATTTCGTAGGTGAATGAATCAAGTTCTCTCACGTGATTCAAATTCCAGTGTTGTTCTGGGGTGGCTGGTGTTTACTGAAAACATTAAAATAAGTCAGGCTTCTTTGCTTTTTGCTAACACTGTAGGCAGGAGTGGCTTCTCCTTTTGCATACAGAGTTTTTTCCTTCGATTCCACACACCTACGTCACCTATTTTCCTTGTGGTTGAGAAAAGCCAGAAATGTCAAGAAAACAATCATCAGTTTGGTAGTTGTTTCCCCTGTAGTGGGGACTGAGGAGTGGCTGGGTGGGAGCCATCCCCGGCCACGTTGGAGCAGACCACGGCCCCTCCCATCTCCAGGTACCTATAGAGACCGCACTGGGGGCGCCTCTCCAAGCCAGCAATGCGGCTCCTGTTTGAATTCAATCCAAGATCATACTTAAACTTTCCCTCCTGTCGTGTTCAATCTATCTTAAGCTGAGACTCAAGGCCATGTTTTCTATGTGTCTGTGTCTGATTGGCTCCATTCGGGGGCTCCCCAGAAAACTGCCCATGGCCCTTTCACAGCCACAGTTCTGGTCATGGGAACAAGGAGAAGCATCAAGGCCTGGCAGACCCAGGTAGCTCCTTCCCCAGAGTCAGAAGCCTCGCCGTGGGCCACTTCCTGCCAACAGGCACGGGGGGCTGGTGAAAATTTGAAGGGAAAGGCACGTCTGGTTTGTTGCTGAAACAGAAACCAAGTCACGTGCTTCCGATCGTGGGGAAGGAGAAGCAAGAGGAGCTCAGTGCACCGAATGGGCCGGGAGGGAAGGAAGGGGTGAGAGAGCAGCCCAGCGATTTCATCCCTGCTTCCAGAAGACAGAATGGAAAACCGGAATCCTTCCCCACGTGGCCTTAGACCCTGTGAGCAAAACCACAGGAGAATCTGTGGTTGATGCCTCCTCAGAATGGAGTCCCGCCCAGTGTTCCTTTTTATCCTGTGACTTTGCTCACAGGGTCTACTCAAGAGACCTCAGCCAACATTCCTACTACCATCACTCTCTCAAAGCAGAACAGTCCCACTAAAATGAGGTTTATTTTGCAAATAACTACAACTAACTAGGAAAACAAATGCCCATTGAGCAGACCCTGGGGTAGGTACAGTGCAGTGACTATGGGGACCGCTCTTTCGACCCACCCAGGGTCTGAATGGTCTCAGGTTAGCAATGGAGACCTCTTCTTTGTGAGGTAGCAGACCTCCCACTCATAACTGTCCTGTCAGCTGGGTCTGGAAAATGAAATGCAAATCCTTGCATTGGTAGGAGTGTCACAGGGGAAAGGAAATCCATTGTTCTATCCCCGTGGTGGAATTTCTTTCTTAAAATATATTTTTATTGATTTCAGAGAGGAAGGGAGAGGGAGAGAAAGGTAGAAACATCAATAATGAGAGAGAATTATTGACTGGCTGCCTCCTACACACCCCCTACTGGAGATCAAGCCTCTGAAACCTGGGCATGTGCTGTGACAGGGAATCAAACCCTGACCTCTTGGTTCATAAGTCGATGCTCGACCATTGAGCCACACAGGCCATGCTGGAATTCCTTTTTGATAGAGTGTTAATCACATCTTAGTTTTTGATAGAATTATAGACCTAGAGCGGAAAATCTACCTCAATTCATACTTCAGAATGATTTCCCCTACCCCAGTCCTGTGGGTGGCTTTCCACCGATTGAGTGAGAATGTCTGGATTACATGGTCATAACCGTGGAGTCAGATCACCTGAGTTCAAAGCTTGGCTTGTAAGCATCTTTTTTAAAATAAATATTTTTATTGATTTCAGAGGGAGGAAGGGACAGGGAGAAAGATAGACACATCAATGATGAGAATCATCAATCGGCTGCCTCCTGCATACCCCACACTGGGGATCAAGCCTGCAACCTGGGCATGTGCCTGACTGGGAATAGGTTGACACTCCTGGTTCATAGGTTGACACTCAACCACTGAGCCACGCCAGCCCGGCTGGAAGCATCTTTCAAAAAAGGTTGAACTAGATGATGTCCAAGACCTATACCCACCTAACAGATAACCTACAATATACAGTCAGTCCTCTCTTAATATCATCAGAGGTTCTTCGACTTAAGCAGAGTAACCTGTAGAAACAGTTTTACCCCAGGGTAACTGAAACAAGAGTTCAGTTCCTACAGCATCTCATCAACGTTACAACAAACCCTCAGTAGACGAAACTATGTTGTTTGAGGACTTGCTGTGCTAGGATTCTATGACTCTTCCTAAACAAGCAAACGTGGTCACAGAGCGGAATCTTTGCAAGGCAGTTATAGCGAAAATGGCACCTTGACATTTTCAAGCCACAGCAGACTGAAGGGAGAGAAAAAAAAAATGGCTAAAAATATTTTTCTGGCCACTTCAGAGTTTGGGAGGTCTAAAATGTTTCTCTTCTGATTAAACACTAGCTCATCAGGCTTGGATTGCCTGCAGTCATCTTGAGGGTGGTTCAACCCATTTTATCAAATGGTGGTACTCAATCTGCTGAGATGAGTTATGGGTAGCCAGGGGGAGATGGAAAGGTTTTGCCCTGCCCAGCTCCATATCTCTTACTCTCGCCCCTCCTTTTCCCACCACACGACTGTTTCCAACCTCCTCCCGGTGACTCGTGCAATTGTGACCACTGAGAAATCTGCCAACCACGTTTCCAATGTTTTCCGTAGAAGAACAAATGGTTTCTTTTAACAGGTAATGAAAGACATGGTAGTCTTAATATAATGAAAGAAAATACTAAACATTCTTATTCTGCCACCTGTTTAAAAAGACTCTTCAGCCCAAGACTCGCAGGCACTCGCACTGGGTGGAAAGACTCCACGTGTTTACAGACACGGGGAAGTAACTGATCTGTCCCCATCATCAGACCAGTGAGGCCCAGAGAGCAAGCACTGGGCGAGGACCCGGGAAGTTCATCCAGCCACCCTCGGCCCATATGTGGATTCCACCCAAACCATCCCAGGATGCTGTGTCTTTCCAGTCTGAAAGATTCCGAGGCAGGAGAAGCATGGGCGAGGACCGAGGAAGTTCATCCAGCCACCCTCTGGCCCATATGTGGATTCCACCCAACCCATCCCAGGATGCTCTGTCTTTCCAGTCTGAAAGATTCCGAGGCAGGAGAAGCCATCTCCTGGCTTCAGTGTTCTCTTAGCTTTTTTTTAAACTGCAATTCCTGACTGGTAGTCCACACTTTTCAGTGTGCTTTGTAAAGGGCACCAAGCCCCTCTCCCCTTAGGTCCCAGTTCAAGCAGAGGATGTTAGAACATTCTCTGTGCATTGGGTTTGATTAGCATTTGCAGTCTCAGTCTATCTATCTATCATCTATCTATCTATCTATCTATCTATCTATTTTCTGGGTTCCCCTAAAACGCAGAACCCTGAATTATCATTTATTTTAATAGTTATTAAGAAATAAATAATAATTTTGAAAGCTAAATAATAATCTATTCAAATGCAAGTAGTAGTTCATTCAAAGGAAGGTGCCAGAGAAAGAAACTGAAGAAATAAATAAATAAATAAATAAATACAAGCATACTGTGAAAACATTTTTTAAAACCCATTTTAAAGTGCTATCATTAGAGAGACCTTCCCCATGAACCTGTGATGGTTGATAAAAAAAAAAAAGGTAAAGCAGCAAAAGAGAATGTTTTGCCTGGTTCACAATAGCTTGTTTTTGGAAAGCAATTTCAGAAACAAAAGTGGGGGACTAGAAAAAGTGAGGCAAGTACTAATAGAGCACTGGCCAGCTTGTCATTGCTGTGTGCACCTGGGTGGCAGCCCCGCTGGGCACCCTCGGGAGGAGCTGTGTAAATGTACCTCAGAATCCACAGCCCAGGGACAGGAGGAAGAAGGGGCTCAAGGAGCCCCGGAGAGTGCCAACTCCTTTGCGCCTCCAGGTTCGCCCGTCACTGAGAGTGGCTGAGTACTTTCCGCAGGCAGGCACAGAGGTGGCAAAGGAGCAAGCCGTGCTGAGGGCAAGAGATGCTTGGGGAAGCTGAGGTGAAGTGCTTTCGATCACACCTGATTGTGGCTGGTTGTTACAGCAAAGCCTGGGTTGAGAAGGTGAGTTTGTAAGATGAGGAACAACAGGTTTCCAATAAAATTATCATATTTGGCAAGAATGTTGCCATC